CTGGTCCGGGAAGATCCCACATGCCGTGGAGCGGCTGGGCCCGTGAGCCATGGCCGCTGAGCCTGCACATCCGGAGCCTGTGCTCTGCAACAGGAGAGGCCACAGAAGTGAGAGGCCTGCGTACCACAAAAAAAAAAAAAAAAAAAAGGTATTACTCTTCACATTGGATTCCAGTTGTGTATTTGTATTTTCTGATTTAAAAAAAGTAGGATTGAATATACATGCTTATGCCATAGTATCTTCTGCTTAAGATTTGAGTGCCTTACCATTCATGTTAAATTGGCGTGGCAAATAGTGTTATTCCTGTTTTATGGAGACCTTAGATATACCCTACAGAGATTAAGTGATTTATCTAAGGTCATACAGGGAAGAGGCTGTTGAGGTGAGTGAGGTTAAGTCAAAATCCAGAAGCCTTGGGGCAGTTATCTTCAACTCGGCTGTTTTAATTTGCAGGTGGCATGAGAATACTGTTTTAGTTTATTTTTTTCTTTGGTTATTTTGATTGATACCCTAGGAAATTAACTTGACAAACTTGGTCAAACTTTCTGCATCTTACCGTTTCTGAAAAGCCACTTGCTTATACTGGTTTTTAGGCACAATGACCAGTGGAGACTAGCAGGGCAAGTAGAGCAGGGAAGTCAGAAACTCAGCCATGGCTGTACGGTCTCTGGATAGCAAAAACCATAGCTCAGTTGACTTCAGGCGGTAGGAGGAACAGGCTAGCAGAGGCTAAGGCCTTGAATTTAAAAAGCTTCCTCATAGAAATAGGGCATCACACTGGTACAGAGAGGCATCTGGGACCAGCATGGCATATAGGAGCCTCCACACAGGCAGGTGAAACATGAAAAGCCATGTTGGGGAACGCACGCAGCAGGCAACTTGGCACTGAAGTCAGGCAGCAGGGCTACAGCCTTAGGTCTAGTTCCTTGAAAGGGATTTTGCAGGAGCAAGGCAGCCCAGTCCTTTAAGGAGTGACCCTTTAAGCAGGCTCCCAACATAGGGGCTCAGGTAGAAGGACGAAGACAAAAGTTAAGTTACCACATGGGGTAGAGCCTAGACCTTGGGAACAAAGCAAAACTCCAATTGTCAATACTAGACTAGATATAGTAAGCACAAAAAAGCCCAGTAAATAAATTAATTTCTGGTACTGACAAGGCCCATGAAGAAGATAAAGCAGAGTAACATGTACATTTAAATTTATTTATGGATTTAGTCACACATTTATAGCTGTAACTTCACACCTACTGTCATTTTCTAAAAGCCATACATGGGTTAACTGGGACTTTAAGAGTTAGGCTATGGATCTGAGAACTAAAATCATATCAACTATCACCAAAGAGCACTTGCTTAGTAGTTTCTTCCCTTTCAGATGTTTTTTAGCACCATTTTACCAAAATTAAGATTTTCTTTCACTCTTGCAATTAGGAGAGGCAATCGATGTTCAAGTGATAAACATCAATTGATGTTCAATTATTAGTACAATTGGTGTTCAACTTTAAAGGATAAAGGTCAGGTATGTGCATATGGGGTGTGTGTGTGTGTGTGTGTGTTTAGACGTTAAAACTGAATATTGGACTTATCAATTTAAGGGCTGTAAATAAAGGTAATGGATTCAAACACCAAAAAGGTGGTTAAAATAGCTTATCTTTAATGTACTTCTCATACTTGAGATTCTAGATTTCCACATAGTTTTGTTTCACATTTTATCAGGTAAGTATGCTACATGGTTGATCAGTGGATTATCACATTGCTTTTTTTTTTTTTTTTTTTTAAGCGGCACACGGGCCTCTCACTGCTGCGGCCTCTCCCGCCGCGGAGCACAGGCTCCAGACGCGCAGGCTCAGCGGCCATGGCTCACGGGCCCAGCCGCTCCGCGGCACATGGGATCCTCCCGGACCGCGGCACGAACCCATGTCCTCTGCATCGGCAGGCGGACTCCCAACCACTGCGCCACCAGGGAAGCCCTCACATTGCATTTTTAAGGCTCTTCTTTTGTCTCATAAACATTCCTTTTTATTATCATATTTGAGTTTATGTAGCAATTCAGGCCCTCCAGATAATAACCCTGTATTTCAGTAACAATATTTTTGAAGTATTGGCATCATGCCTCATTATATTAAAGAAATATCCATGCCAAATACCTAAACATGACATGATTTTTGACTTGATCTGCAAGTTGGCAGTAGAAAAGGAAATTCTGTAGTACCTCTATATTAAGTAAATGCCATATCTACTTAAATTATCTAATATGTTACTGTAACCTACTTATGAAAACAGTAGTTTGCTTAGATGAATAGTCTATAAAATAGTAGGAACTGTTTTAATGCTGAAATGACCACAGAGCACACAAATGCCAAATTATATACAAAGGATTTTTCCTTCTTATACTCCAGAGGTCATCATCAGTGGCTTCAAAAACAACTTGAAAATATGTCCTCTCCAATGACATTTGGGTTACTATTTTGTCTTAATTTACCTCTTCCCATTATTATTGAAATACAATTCAATTTTAAATATTTGTCTAGTTTAGGTTTTGATATTTGTATAGAGATGTCTTTGTAGTAACCAGCGGTTTATTATTCTTTAGTGGTTTGGGATAGGAAGCTGTTTTTATAGCCTTTGACATCTCATTTAAAAATAGTTAATTTGTTTCCTAATTTGCCATCTATAATGGGTCAATAGAGTAAAAAATCCTGATGTTGGCAATCAGCGGGAAGTTCTATAGTGGATATATACAGAGCCTGCACTTTGGTCTAAAGAACCAGCTGCTTAAGCCTACAAGGAAGATGTGTGGTGAGTGTGGAAAAGGCCTGAGGCTTAATCATCTGTTTGCTCGTTGTGACTCAGGAGTGTGGTACAGCTGCCAAGAGAGCAGAGGCAACCAGAGGCCAGGCTGGCAGTGAGAACTCCCAGTAAACAGGGGGCGGCTCTTTCCACCCTGCACTCCCATCCCCAGCCTGGTGTCTTGGGGTCAGTTTGGGGTTCTCTAGTTAGCTGTATAAATGTTTAAGTGTTTAAAATTGGAGCTCATTCAAAGACAAGTGGTCAGGATGGAGAGAAAACTTGAAACCATGTTTATATAAGGAAGAGCTGGAGGAACTGAGGATGTTTATTCTGGAGGAGAGGGTACAGAATTGCTGTCTTCGCAGATATAAAGGGCTGTCATGTAGAAGAGAGGTTAGATTTATTCTGCATGGCTCTGGAGGATAGAATAAGGGCCAACGGGGCAGATTTTGGCTCAGTTTAGGAATAGCTTTCTGCTGGTTACACATGTCCCTGAAAGGAATGAACTGCCCCCAAACGTAGTAATTTTGGATCTTGGGGACAAGCATACCTAGGCAGATGGTTGCTACTGTATTCCAGGGAACGTCCCATGAGACTGAACTAAAGATCTCCAAAGTCCTCCCAATTCTAAGATCCTAGTTCACCATCTCTCTGTCCAGCAAACACATTTCTTGACCAAGCACAGTGCTAGGGGTGCGGAGACCTCCAGGCACTGGAGAAACCAGGCATGCAGATGGTGGCCACTGCGCAGGGTGAGGAGTACAGTGATGGACCTGGTTGTGTGAGGTCTCAGAGTCCTGGAGAGGGCTCACGAATGCGATGCTTGGATGGCAGTGCCTGAGCTGAGTCGTAAGTAGTAGTTGGCCAGGTAACAAGTGGAGATAGGGCATCGCAGCAGGAGGGCCGAGCATGTGTAGAGGCCAGGATGAGACAGGGAGAGAATAAAACGGAGCAGGAGCTGGAGCAGAAAGTGCTTTATATGCTAAACTGAGCATTTGGCTTTAGGAGTTGAAGTTTAGGAATAATGTAATCTGATTTGCATGTTTGAAAGGTGGCTCAACTGATAAGGTTGAGGATAGAGTGGTACCAATAGTGAAGTCACCCAGGGGCTCCTCTCTGAGTCTTAGGTTACTCACCCCTTATGTGAGGGGCTTGGACTATTCTTTAGTATTCTATGAGGATAGTCATTCAGTATCATCCTTTATGATTTCACTTTGATTGTCAAGCCTGTGGTGTTGTAAGTCTCACCAGCCTCTGGGTACAAATGCAATCACATTGGCGATAATACCCAGATTTCATTCACACTTCTCTATTTTGCTGCTTAAGACCTCCAGACCCCCCGAAACTCATATCCAGTTATCTCTGGGGCCCCCTGGGGATGTCCGATTGGAGAGCATAAGCAGACCCCTCCCGCTTCTCATTCTGTTGTTATCTGAACCCACCTGAGGGTGGTGCTTCCTCATGCCAATCCTCTGTGATGACACCGCGGTCCCTGCCCCCCATAGATATCCCTAGAATTACAGCTTGCAGGGTGCTAAGGTGACACTGCACTCCTCGTGGTCTTCACTGCAGCCCAGCCACACTGTTCCCAGCAAATGGGGGTAAACGGCTCACTTCCTCACTTCGTGTCACTTTTGGTCACCTGGGCACGGGAGTGGGACTGGGTAGGCTTGTGTCTCCCAAAATCCCTCTTGACAAAGCTCCTCTGGTTTTGGCCTACAAACCCAAGGCTGTGGAACCAATAGCTGAGAGAGACATCAGGGTTCTCTCTCCCTTCCAGTTTCCCCCAGTCTCTCCTTGTCCTGGCTGGTTCTCCTTCAGCAGCAAAATGAACTATAATCCCAGGACTTCACTCTCTGGATCATCAAACATACATACACCTGAGATGATGATGATTATCATGCCTGGCACAGGGCTAAAAGCTTCTTATACACCATCTCATTTAATCACCCCAACCCTTGGAGATACATATTATTGGTATCCTCATTTGTAGGTGAGGATGAGGCTAAGAGGAATTAAGTAATGTACTCAAACAATTGACAGAGCTAGAATTTAAAACCAGACTGGTCTGGAATATTCCAGGCACCAAGCTCTTAACAAGTCCCCAACAGTGGGACATAAAAACACTCATAATCTTATAACTTGATTAACAGTAAAGTGCTTACTTTGCTCATTTGTCATCTATGCATAAATTCCAAATTGGCTTTTGCATCCAGGGCTGGGAAGAAACAGTGGATGCTGCTATTTCCCACCTTTTGAAGACCTGCCTATCGAAGAGTTCCAAGGAGCAGGCTTTGAACCTCAGCAGCCAGTTGAGCATACCCAAAGACACAAGCCGATTGAAGAAACGTATCACCTTGCTGTGCGATCGATTAGCCAAAGGTGGACGTCTCTGCCTAAGTACTGACGCAGCAGCTCCGCAGACCATGGTCATGCCAGGTAAGAGCTCCATTCATGCTCCCAAAACACAACTGTACTTTGGCCAAATTAAAGGAATGTGCCTGTGGTTGTACTTGGGGTTTACATTTCATATTAAAGTGATGATAGCCAAGAAAATTACTTTCACGTTTCCCCTCAGATATCCCAGGGTAACCACTTGGATAAATATTCTTGGGGTATTTGCTTGCTAGACATTTCTAGAATGGTATGTCTTTTTTCTTCCCTCTGCTTTTAAATATATGATCCATTTTGTTTTGCTTCTAACCAATAAAAAGTGGATTAGAGAATAAAACTATTTTTAAGGAAAATTTTACTAAATGTGATCTCACGATACCATATTTCATAAATGTAAATAGGATAATACAAGCAGCTAATATAGTCCAGATGAGTCCCATCCCTTCTGCTGTTTTCCTGGTTGTGGTCACCAGAATAAGGGGGAAGAGACAAAGAAAAAGACTGGAGATCAGGAGACATGAGCAGGCTTCAAGGCTGAGGCCTCTATGTTTCAGGGGGAGAGAGATCCAGGTTGCCCAGACCTGGGCAGTCAGTGATGACCATGGGCCTCCAAGTCAGCCCTTCCCACAGTCAGAGGGGCTGAGCCATCAATAGCGCTGCATTCGGTCCTTTAGAGGCCGCAGCTCCCAAGTCCCGCTTAGCTCTACTTAGTGTCTCTCTTTATGGCAGCAGCAAGGAGCATAAGTAAGTGAATTTATTAAACGCAGCAGCGGTAGCATCTATTTCCTCCTAAAGCAAGGACCATAGTATGGGAAGTGGTGTGGAGTTTTTCATCTTCCTCCTTACATGCATTTCGTACACTTACTGCCCGCCCCCCCATGCTGATGTTACTGCTCATATGACCTGGATATGTTTCTTAACTTTCCAGAGTCTAGTTTCTCCTTTCAAAGTGGGTATAATAATGCCTTCCTTGTTGCTAGGGCATTATATGTTTGTAAAGCACCTAGCACAATTCTTGGAACAGAGATACACTCAAAAAATTCAAACTATAATTATTACCATTGTACGGATGTATGCATAATTCACCTTATAAATTTGGGGTGGAGAGAACGGCTGGCTTGGGACCATGGGATTCTGTACTCTATGGTTTGAAAATTTTTTTGCCTTAATCATACACAGGCAGAACGTAACTTTCATTCCAAAGTAATATTTCTAATATGGCATCTCAGAATAGAATTGCCTTCCTACTTAGAAACAGTTCTAATAGTTTGTCTTAATTTAGGTCTTCTTCATCTTGCCCTTGTTAACATCCTCCTAACTGGTCCTTGGGCCTCGATTCATCCATCTCTGTCCACTGTTAGGATGATTTTCCTAAGAAATAAATATGTAGACTTAATGAGATGGTAAATGAAAAATATTCACTATAATCAGCAATCAGTATATGGCTCTCCCTCCTTTCTTGCCAATTGGAGAAACAAAGGAGGCTTGAGGGAGAAGGCCAAAAACATAAAAGGGAAAGCTTAAAAAGAGATGGACTGACCCCCTGCTTGGCTGGTGTGTTTGTCAGTGCAGGCCTTGGTAGCCCTGCCTTGTCTTCCCCACGTCCTTGTTGGAGCCTCTTTGGAAACAGCCACTGGGAGTCCGGTGGCATTGCTGTGAGCAAACACCTGGACACCTGGAGAGAAACGATGCTTCTTTAGTCACATTTATTGATTATAGAACTTTAGACATTTGTTTAAATAACTAGATTTGGAAGCAACTTCAGGGCTGTGTCCTTAGAAACCCTTGATGTAAAATTTCTGAATTTTTGGAAGGAAGAGGCAGAGGAAAGGAGGAAGAGAAGGAAGGGAGGGAGACATGAAGGAAGGTGGAAAATGTGTTTGTTCACAAACCAGGAATCTGGAAGCCAGGTGTGTGCCTGTCACACTAGTCTAGCCGAGTTCATCCCGTTGGAGAGATTGAGGCTGTGCGTGTTTGTCGCGGTCATAATTGCTTGCTTTTACTTAATGATGACCCACTTTTTGACTTTAGTTGAGTGACTCTCCCTCCCACCTGCCATATCCAATCATGATAGCAAGTTCTTAAAATTTGTTAAATCAATGCTCTTCGTCATTACCATGCTCCATTATTGCCTATAATACCTTTCCTCCATAGAGCTCAGATTTTTCACATACTTATTTCTGTACTTAACACGTTTCTGAGGTAGAAGAAACATGTAGAATTATTGCTGTTTTACAAATAGAAATTGAGTTAAGGAAAGCTAAATATCTTTCCCAGAGTTACATGGTTACCAGAAGGGTTAGGTCTAGAATCCAAATCTTGTAGCGCACTGTGCTTCCCTCTAGACCACACAGACCACACGGTACAAATGTATTTCTAGCCAGAGCCTCCTCCTGTGTGAGCTATTCTTGATCTGGCCTTGTTTTCACTTAAATTGGCCTAGGATTGTGGGAGGAAAAGGGCAGAAATTTCACACAGTCTCTTTTCTTTGCTATGAGGAATATAATAAGGATTTACCCTGTATTTGCTTTGTGCTTAATTTTTATTATCTCAGTAGGTGACATGGTACCATTATTACAGAGATTATTTCTGAGTTATTTCTGCTTCAAACCAGTAGTTGTGAAATTTCTGATGTTTAGCTATAGTAGTTGTTTCAGAATATGTGAAGGTAAAGTGGCATATTAGAAAGGAGTAGATTACTGAACACATAAGCATACAAGCATTTTTCACAGACATGATTTTTTTTTAATAGCTGGGCAGGAACTCAGAAATCATCTGGTTTACTTCCCTCTCTTAACAGCTGAGGTAACGAAGGCGCTAGGAAGATGAAGTGACTTAGTGGTTGATATTAAAAGGCAGGGATGTGTGTAATTTCACCATGTTCCCTATTAAATTACAGATGAATCTCAGAATAAAAAACTCTTGGTCTTCTCTAGCCTCATGACTTTATGAACCCAGCACCTTGGATGTGCCCTTTCTTTGCTCCAGTAAAGGCCATGATGACAGCATCCTCCCTGGCGTCCAGAATTTGAAAATCTTTCCCACTGGGAATTACCTTATGGACTTCTTTGCCTCACATTTCTCCTGCTTGCCTTTATCAACCTTCAGCTTCTCTATCAGGATTTAGCCTGATCTTTATTGGGTATTCTTTTTATTACAGAACCATCAAACTTGTATTTTTCTTATCTGTACCTCTGTATTCACATCTTTCAGCTGGGGAATATTGCATTTTCATTAAATGTCTTTTTTCTAATCTCAGTGGTATGTATTCTACCCTTAGAACAAGAGTTACAGAGGGCCACCAGGGTAGTGTTTTAAAAAAAATCTGAATGTGAATGCCTTTAGTTGCCTAGCTGGCTTTCTCATACCTGTTTGTTACTTGCTGCAACCCTGCAGGTGCTTGAGGCTGAGGTTTACCTTAGATTGCTAGTGATTAAAGTATGGAAGGTTCGAGACTAATTGGTATCAGAAGAAGACTACCTGAAACTGGAACCAACATTTCATTGTTTTCATTAGGAAAACAAAAGATTTGTTTGAAAAAGAGTAAAGTTAAAATCAACAGTAAGTTTATCATATATTTGCCAGAATTTATGTTATGCCTGCAATTTTGTGCCAATTTTTAGAGACAGCAATGAAGAAATTGCGTGAGGTTTTTGTTTTTGCTTTGTTTCTGGTATGATGATGGACACTCAAATTTGGCCTAACTAGCACCTTCACAAAGAAGGTAAGTTTTAAGAAAAAATATTCCAAGGCATTATCCATTTTCCTAGCGATCTTTCTTTGATCTGCAAACCATTTTCTTCAGAAACATCTATCATGTCATCATTCTAGCCAATTTTCTTCTCTTCATTGTTAACTGGACCAATTGCCAGATTTTCTTTTTTTTTTTTTTAACATCTTTATTGGAGTATAATTGCTCTACAATGGTTTGTTAGTTTCTGCTTTATAACAAAGTGAATCAGCCATACATACACATATATCCCCATATCTCCTCCCTCTTGCGTCTCCCTCCCACCCTCCCTATCCCACCTCTCTAGGTGGTCACAAAGCAAGGAGCTGATCTCCCGGTGCTATGTGGCTGCTTCCCACTAGCTATCTATTTTACATTTGGTAGTGTATATATGTCCGTGCCACTCTCTCACTTAATCCCAGCTTACCCTTCCCCCTCCCCATGTCCTCAAGTCCATTCTCTACATCTGCATCTTTATTCCTGTCCTCAATTGCCAGATTTTCTCCGGGTACTGTCCTTGCATGTGATACAAGCGGTTCTCTAATAACACTTTAACTGCATTGTATCTTGCATCATTTGCAAGGTTTATAATTTCCCTCTGCAGCCCATTTATGCTGTATTTGCAACAGTTTCCAACAGTTGGTGAGAGATGAACCAATACAAAAAGTTGATAGCAGATGGGGATTCCTCTAGTGTTAAATGTGGAAAGATACTGGAGTAGAGACTAATTTTATAAGTGGCCAATTCGTTTTTGAGTGAATATCTTTGTATTATGCTTTTGCTTTTTTATGATTACAATTGGGATAATTAGAACATCTATAAGTAGGAGAATTCCCCCCTCCCCAAAATTATGTATGTAAGAATTTAGAAGGTGCTAGCCTGAATTCTGATCTCATGTGCTAATGTGGCATTTCAAAGCAATGGAGAGTGGACAAGGTGAATTAATTGAAAAATGTTTCTGGGAACAGGCCAACCATTTGGAGAAAAAATAGATTCCCTAGCCCATTCTGTGTGCCACGATACATTTCAGATGGATAAGAGATGTAAATGTAAAAAAAAAAAAAAAGGAAACACAAAAACACAGAATGAAATAGAGGTAGATACATAGACATGGAGGAGCAGGATAAGTCTTTCTAAGTAAGTCAATAAAGGCAGAAAGCAAAAGACAGAGCTTCAGTGATACACGTCTCAAAATCTGGTCCAGAAGCATATAAACCGAGGTGTATGTTAATGATAATTATACTGGGTGCCACAGTTACAGGTGGTGTCTGAGTGTCCTCCTGCTATTTCTCTTCCATATAATGTGTACATTTTC